ATATAATACAGTTAGATATACACTTGAGGAATATAAACACTTGTCAATTCGAATATATAATACAGTTAGATATACACTTGAGGAATATAAACACTTGTCAATTCGAATATATAATACAGTTAGATATACACTTGAGGAATATAAACACTTGTCAATTCGAAAAGGAAGTATACTGAGAGGGTAGAATTGGACACGCAGATTAGATATACTGAGCACTTTTAAACGATTGGGGTTGCACTTATGTATATGAGTGAATAGAGATTTGTACTTATAGGGACTAAAGAAGCTTTTTAGTTTTAAAGAGACGTGAAACCACGCTCTGCTACCAAATTTTGTCAGGAATAAACCCAACAGATGAAGATTTAGGCAGTGAACCTTATTTGAAGAAGAAATTGAGTGAGTAAGTTTGAATGAAAACGCAGAAATTTGGTCGGGCTGCGACCGGGGTGAGAACACCCTATTATAAAGTTGATATATTCAAGGAAAACAACAATTGACACTCAAGTGAATTTGCTCGCGAAGTTTTGGATGAACCGCACGCTCGAGAGGTAGAAACTGAACTGTAATGTTTATTGTTATTTAGGAGAGCAGGAAAACAGTCCTACAAGGACGAGAAAGTAAGATTAGCAGAGAAATGTAGCCTTGGAGGCTTCCGTAAGTTACGTGAGAACCGAGGATTTCCGAGGTTCTCACGAGAAAAGGAATTTGTCCTCAAGGACGAGAATTCGGGTTCTCAAACTGCTTTTTCTAAAAATAGAACTAAAAAATTCGCGACAGTAACAGCAGTATTCAATTCCCGAAATGTCCATATTGTGTTGAAATATATTGATTGAATTAGTTTGAATTGGGAGACAATTTTCATTTTCATGGAATTAGTGTGATTATTTTGTCAATGAAACACCAAGTGAAAACTATATAATTCAAGTCTAAGGGAAAATGAGACTCAACTTGGGGACATTTTGACTTAGGGACACTCTTGATGCACCACTTATGTCTGCATCTCCTGGTCTCATATCTATTGTATTTGGTTATGATAATATCCATTGATCAGTATGCAACGTATTTTTTCTCTCACCATATCTGGGCATTCTCAAATGCTTTCAAAGAGCATAATATGAGATAAAAAAGATGTTTCTCCTTTCTTTATTGCAGTACAGAATAGTTAAAACTGGACAATTCAACCATCCCAAAGTCAAAAACCTCCCAATGTCAAATTTTTATGAAGTCCATGTCTGAATTCCCTTCTTGAAAAATGCATTAAAAACCTCTCTGACGCTAGAGGCTTTTCATTTACCTGCTATATTTTTTTTTACGCAAGAAAGAGAAAAGCAGAAATACATTTAAATTAATCTGCTCTGAAAAGAAGTGAAACATTAATTGTCCTGATGAACCATTGTCCCCAAGTTCAGCATCCTATTAACAAAATTAAAAAGCAATTTAATGTCAAAAATATCACTGATTACTGTAAAATTTTCCATTATATATCCCTATTTTTTCCCAAAAAATTGCCTATTTTCTGAAATTAAAACCACCCCTGCTTCAAATTTTTTTGCTGGTCTCATTGAAGTTTGACTTGAAACATGTTCCACAGCATATTGATAAGACTCGCATTATAATAGAGCCGAATAATGAATAATTGAGATGAAAATCCTGAGTTGAAAGGCTTTATAAAAATTTAAATAAAGGTGTTTTTCAAATATAGCCAAAATATCGGTCAATGATTTAAGCGAATTACGTGATCCGAGTCACGATCCCGCGCGGAGGATTGAAATCTCTTCATCTATTCGGTGAGCGACATCTGGGCAAACAAGTACTGTCACTTGAAGGGAGCGCTTGGTCATTTTAATGACAGGTGTCGCTCACTACCAATCCGCAAACGAACCTTGAGAGTCGCGGCGTTCTTTGACCGTTCCCGCGAAGATCCCACCGCCGCCACTGCCGCCGCCGAGGGACGGGATCGGCGGGTGTCCGTCCTCGTCGAAGGACGCCGCGACGACAGGCGCCGGGCCGGGCGGTGGGCCGCCACTAACCGACGACGCCGTCGACAACGGAGGCGGCGCTGGACGCTGCGGCAAAGGACGTGCTGGTGGCGGCCCTGCAGCTGCAGCAGCAGCCGCCGCTGCTGCTGCTGCTGTTGGGGGCGTCGGTGAGGCGCCTGCGGCGGCGCCGAAGAGTTCGTCGCGTTCGCGGATCTGCTGCGCCGTGAGTGATGGCGGCGGTGGCGGCGGCAGCACGGGTCGAGAGTCGTCCGTCGTCGGCGAAGAGACGACGGAATTGGGCTTGCTGGCTGTCGGAATGCGACGATGTTGCGTAGATGTCGCTGCAGTCGCGGCGGACGCGGACGTGGTGGTGCTTGTGGCGCTGGGTTCGTCTTTGCCCAATGGTATCGTGGCAAACAGCGTCTATATATTTTTTTTCATCAGATTGAGGAGGAGGACGAATCATCATATATAATTCCAGATTTATCATAGTATCCATTGATATACAGTGAGACCCCGAGATGCGGACATCATTGGTGCATCAAGAGTGTCCTTCAGTCAAAATGTGTCTATGTAGAGTCTCATTTTCTCTTAGACTCACATTATATAATTTTCACTTGGTGATTTATGGAAGAAATATTCTTGAGAATTCCATGGAAATAAAAATTGTCTCACAATTGAAACTGATTTAATCAATATACAGTCATCCCCCGTCTAACGGACTTGATTCGTGCAAGGGACGAGTCTGTTAGACAAAAAGTCCTTTACACAAATTCAATTACATAAAAAATTAAAAATTTCAATTTTCAATACTAATTTTAAACTTAAAGAAGTCTGTTTG